CACGTGCATTTTTATAGTAAACGCCCCCTGAGTATGTCAAGGAAATGCATGGCTTAAAACAACTGCAATTAAGTGGTGCAACACTTGTGTTACAATCAGCAAACCTGAGGGCTTTGCTCTGCATGACAGGCGGCGCTACCCTCTCGCTTATTGCTGATGTTTTCTAACATGTGCCTCAGAAACAGAGCGAGTGTGGGTCCTCAAGGCCCGATTCCCCTCTCACACGACGTCTCTGCTTGGGTAACTCCAGTGACTTCAGGGTAGAGCGTCGCCCCCTTGACATTTAAACAGTGGGCCAGACTTTTGGCTGGTGTAACTCCACTGAAATCAATATTTGGCCCAATATGTACAGCAGGGAATAGAATGTCTTTTACCATCCAGTGCAATCCAAGGTAGCCTAGTCGGCATGCTAATTCAAGCATCCCTTGAATTTTGCTATAGTGTGATCGTACCTTTGGCTGTTAAGCCAGTGGTGTTTGTAATCTTTTATGCCATAGTCCTGGCCTGAACGAATAGCTTATGTAGTTGAATGTAGCAAAATCCTGTTCAGCTCCCAGTGTGTTTATAAGCATGAAACCAGATCACAGATGCGCCTTTTCCCATCATTCACCCCTTCAAATGTAATTGTTCCATTGTGTAAAGTGCTGATACGTGCTCAGACCTGGCTGAAATACCTGCCTTTTTCTCTGAACTTTGTTGCGACTCTGCTTGGGTATTTGGAAAGAGTTTGGAGGCTAAATCTTAAGAATGTCCAATATAAATGTTGCCCAGGGTAAAAGTCCACAGCATGCTTCTTTGTATCTCTGCTTCCATCTGGTGGACAAATGCTGGCTACTGGTCTTTTTCTATACAGGGTCCTGACTCAGGGATTTTCCGCAGTCCTCTTTTAGAGCACATTTGCATTATTCTAAAGAAGAGGTCTTCATTCAAACACACCTGGGACTTCAGCAAGATTTGGATCCAGATCTAAACTTTGCAGGGGTTGGACCCAACTCTAGTAAAAAAACCCACGTTTAGTTCACAGCATGGTGCATGGAGCGGGTTTCATACAGAGTGTTTCATTCTGTAAGCTCGGTGTTTTGTTGGCAGAAGACTGCAGACGCTTCCTGTGTTTCTGGGTCTCCATTCTTTAACATTGCAGGAAAATCTTCGAGGTTAGTTTGAAACGGACATGTCAGTGGGTTAAATTTCCTAATCCCAAACTTCCTGGTTGATAATCCTGCTACTTTGCACTAACATAATTTGTTTCATTTCTAGATTATGTGTTTACTTGTGCATAAGAATCTGTGTTTCCTTGCTAGCCTTGGAGTTTGTGTCAACCAACTCTAGGAGGAGGTTAACTAGACACTTAGACACCATGGTGTTGGGCACCAGTATAAATAGAGGGCCATGTTGGTTTGTATGATGTAAATACACACTTTTCCCCCCCTGCTAATATTGTGTATACTTAAAGATTTTTCTAATCTGATGTACCACTAATAAAACCTTCACCTGATATTTCTCTAATAGGGTAGCAATGAAGAGATTTTTGCTGCCACGTGACTTCATGTGAATGAACAGATTCTAATTAGATGAAAAGGGGAGAGGTTAGAATCACTTGATACTGTCGGATCCCAGCAAAGAGGGTAAACTCAGCTGTGTGAGACAATCTGGCCCTGATGCTTGCTGCCACCCGGGAAGACTGAGAAATCCAAGTGGGAATATCCTAACGCTGCATCCCTAGCTTATGTGTTTTGCTCTTCTACCTGCCCCTGAGCTGATGCTCTGTTTCTAATGTCCTGTGTCATGTCTCGATCTGAGAATTAGAATTTCTGTGCTGAAAACAGTTTCCGGCGCAAGGCTGTCAGCAAAGTTGTGACTTTCTGCACCAGTGCCAAAGAACTGGGAACATTAAAGTATTTTACTGATTCAGAGTGAAATTGTTGGGGGAATGTTATGCATTCAGGGGAGCTTCTGCCCCTTATTAGAGAGACAAAGTGGGTGAGGTAAGATCTTTTATTGGACCGATTTCTGTTGGGGAGTGGTCTCTTTCGCCAACAGATGTTGGTCCGATAAAAGATATTACCTCACCTACCTTGTCTCTCTAATATCCTGGGACTGGTATGTATATCTACCCCTTATTCACCATGTAGACAATGCCACAGCTAATCCTTAGAAACACATGCATTGCCATACCAGATAAAATCACTCGTCCAGCAAATCCATTGTTCTACCTCTGGTCGTGACCAAAGTTTGATATTTTGGAGTTAAACAACCTTCTCCCTCTACTAATAATACAGCTGTGCAACTGTGCAGTGTTGAACATGTAGGAGAACTGGAGAGCATGCTGGGTACATGTGTCTTTCTGCAATTCCTTCCTGTCGCCCCACCTGATCAGTTTACCCCTTAAAGCATAAGATTCAATTCCCCTTATTTTAGCTCACGTTAGGCAGGTGCAGACTCTAACCTCGTGCTGTACGTGGCTTTGTTTGCTGGTTTGTTCCTAAAGTGGTGATGCACTGGGATCAAAACCAGTAACTTACAGTGTCAAGACATTTGGGGGTAGATCCTGACCCTGTTGGAGTCCATAGCGAAACTTCCTTTGACTTGATTGAGGTCACAATTTCACCCATGGCTCATCAGATAAATCGCCCCATCCCTTTGCCCTGAAAGTTGTTGCATGGCCCCTTTTCACTGGCAGTCATGGGCGGGTCTGGCTTCTGCATTTTTGTTGCCAGAGGGAAGCTGCTGTAGCTGGATTAGGAGCCAGGAACTCTTCCATTAACCTTACTCCATGGTATATTATTTTTCTTACTTTTCTCCTCCTTTCACCTTGTCCTCTGCTGAAGAAGAAATTGAGGAGGGCAGGGTGGAGGTGAAGTAGAGAGAGTACTTACCCATCTTTATGAAGTGCTTTGAGATCTGAGGATTAAACATGCTGCATCTAAGAGCTAAGGACTGATATTACTGTATGCATTTTGCAATACACCAGGCTGACAATGAAGCATTCCCTCTTGTATGGACACCAAAAGGCTGTCTGTGCCTCCCAGTGAAAATAACATGCACCTTTTGGTAACTTCAGCAAGCAGGATCTAAAAGAATTACAGCATCCTTGAAGGCACACAATATTCTTTTTCAGGAACGAGAGCTCCTGGAGCAACCTTAAGGGAGGCCGTAATTACTTGTATTGTGCAGCACTGCATATCTCCTACCTGGTGAAGACAACAACAGCATCCTTCAGAAAGCACTGAACCTCTTTCATTAGCTGCGGAGAGAATAGGATTCCTAGTGTCAAAGCTGCTGTCAACTGATAAAAAATTCTCGTTTCAGCAAAGACATTTCCTGTCTCCCTAACCTCTCCTTATAAACTTGGCTGAGAGAGTCAGAAGGTTCACTTCAAACAAAAAAAGACCACTCTTGAGTGTCTGGAAGTTGTTCAATACGTATACACACTGGATATACATGTCTCCCTATGTGAATACATATAAATGTATGTATTATCTATACTTTGGATTATCTATACATACATCTATACCCTCTGTATGTTGTATGTAATCTATATATTGACTTGTTCTGTGTGCATAAAGATGAAGGTGTGATGTGCAGAGAACTGATCTCTCAGTGGTTGACTTTAAAACCTAGCAGCTGGTTATCAAAATGTCTGTGATAACCTTTCCATATTCAAAACAAAGAAATTCACCTTTCTGCTTATAGACAAGATTCAGCTGTTAATGGGTGAAGTAATAAATGTGAACACAAACAAAGGATTTCAAGTATTTTATTCGGCAGCTTCCTAGGAATCTTTAGAAAATCCTTTCCTGACCACAGTTCAGTGCAAAACTTTGCCAGCTTCAACATTGTGGCATTTGGCCCCTCATTTTGTGCAGGCAGCATTTGCAGCTGCGCTCAAAGCCCCTTGAAAATCTGGCCCTTTGTGCTGGTTAAAGAGACGCTGTCAACTAGAGTGAGTCTCAGGCCTGGTCTACACTAGGGCGTTGGATCGATCTAAGATACGCAACTTCAGCTACGAGAATAGCGTAGCTGAAGTCGACGTATCTTAGATTGACTTGGAATCACTTACTTCACGTCCTCGCGGTGCAGGATCGACGGCCGCCGCTCCCCCGTCGACTCCACTTCCACCTCTCGCCGTGGTGGCGTTCCGGAGTCGATGGCAGAGCGATCAGGGATCGATTTATTGCATCTACACTAGACGCGATAAATCGATCCCTGATAGATTGATCACTACCCGCCAGTTCGGCGGGTAGTGTAAACGTGGCCCCATATTTTACAATTTTAAGTAATTAAATTGAACTTTTGTTCTGAAGACAAAAATAATGGCGATGAGGGCTGGTTACCAGATTTAATGTGAAGAGAAATTAGATGGACCTAAGATGTAGTTTTCAGATCAAACTTTGCATTGGAATTCCTCTAAGTATGGGCCCGTTCAAATCTGGGGTTCTGGTTTGGCCAATTGTAGAGGTTCTGAACCACAAAGTGCCTGATCCTTCTATTGGAGCTATGTGGATGGGACCTGAGGTTGGTGCAGAACTTCAGTGGGGCTCCAGGCATGCATCCACTTTCACTGACATGGATGTGATTGCAGGACGGGGCAGAACTCTAGATCAGGTTCTACACTTTCTCAGAGTCCCACAATGTTTGGCTGTGGGCTTGCAGTTCAGGGCTTGATTTGAACAGAAATGTTGACCTGAAGTAGAAACTCATTCCCCTGAAGTCTTCCATGTCCATTCCAAACCCAATCACATGGCACTCCTATGGGAGAACCAGGAAGTGAAAGTAACCAGAAACAAAGGTGAAATTGACCAGACCAGTTGAGTGAACTGCAAAAAATGTAACAAACAAACAGTGTAAACAGGGAGGAAGAAAAGTCTGTTTTCTGTGATGGTTTGTTCTTGAAATGGAGGTAAGGAATTTGCTAGTTTTTAATATAAATGGAATGTGGACAGCACTTCTTTAAAGAGTTTCTTTTATCCCTCTTTTTTTTTTTTCCTGGGTGTATTTAGGTTCCCAACCAGCTGTGACTCGAGATGTTACTATTGTTGCTGCTCCGGAGAACACCACAGTGGTAGCTGGAGAGAGTGCCGTCATGGAGTGTATGGCCTCTGCAGAGCCCACCCCATTTGTCTCTTGGATACGACAGGGTAAATTAAGATAATTATTCTTTTGATGTTAAGAGGAGTCTAGGCACACTGTATTTTTAAAATCTATTAAAAGGGAAAGTGCTGTGGAAGAGAGGGCGCTTTTTAAATTGCTACCCACTGTATGGGGCTATGTACGCGGTGATCTGGAGCGTCCTTTCTGAGCTGGGATTACTCATTGAATCTAAAACCTTACAAAGCGTGCAACTTATTTTATAGTTGTTTGATCTGTAAAATATATGAAATTCTGGTTACTGGATGCCTTTTGATCTAAATTAGTCATGGCAGTATTGTATGAGCCAGAGCATTGAAGGTCACCATATAGGGGTCAGGCTGATGACACTTCTTTTGTAATGGTTCAGAAAGGTTAGTGGGAATTTTAACACATCTGCTGTTGCTTTGTAAAAATAACTTTTGATATCTTGTGGGATTATAAAATATGATAAGGATTCTTTAGTCATTTAAGGGGCCTTGTTTTCAAAAATAAATCCTCTTATGGTCAAGATAATGAAGGTCTGAGAAAGAGTAAAGATATCATTAAGTGCCTGTAAACGAGCCAGACTGATTTTCATGTGTCAAGGGCTGATCAGCCTAAATCAGAAGTAGGGCTGGTGTAACCATCACTGAGGTTGTGTCAGACGTTTCCCATGAGCGATTAAACATTGAAACTTGCCATGTGGGTTCTCAGTCCAGAAACCACGTCTCAAAAACATATTGAAATAGTTTTCAAAAATCTGTGTTATGTCATAAGCATCTTTCCTTGCCCTCAGAACCATTTAATCAACTCAGTCTTTAGCTGTAACTTGCCTACTCCAGGGGCTCTTCGTTAATGGTAATGTTTTTGGATGTGCTAATATTTCCTCCTCCGCCCCCCCTCAAAAAAAAAAAAAAGTTTGCGGGACTCTGTGTGGGGAATACAAACAGGGAGGATTAATCATTGAGGCAGAGCTGGAATCTTGCATTTCATCCCATGTACTTAAGACATAATTAGCAATACCCATCTTTCCCATGCTAAATAATTTATTCATTGCTACACTGAGAGCGGTGAGTGCCCAGAGTATTTGTAATCAGAGTCAATTAGCACGGTTAGAGTTTGGGTTGGTTTTTTTTATTAAATGAGTGGCGCGTTTTCTTTCAAGCTGTAGTTTTTAAATGTTTGTTCTGTGCCCTCAGGTTTTCGGTCTGGATGTCCTTGGTTTAGCATGGATGAGCTGATTGGGCCTCATCAGTCTTCATGTGGTTATTAAAATAGATTTGGTTCCAAAATTGCAGTAAAAAGAAGGGCTGAGACACTCAGGATGAGTAAAGTCCTGTAACACTGAGGGTTTCAACTGTAGGTTACCCATTGAAACTCTGCCACGACAATCAGTTCCATCTGGGGTCAGATTTTCAAGTCACTTGTGTTTAGGCATGTGTGCAAAATGTGCATGCAGGTGTGTTCCTGAATTGAACGCCTGGGTACTGAATTGTGGGCCCATCCGCAGACCAGCAGTAAGTGGGAGGGTGTGTAGACGTTGCTAACAGCCGCGTTCCACATCAACTGTGCTAGGTGACAGAGTAACAGCCGTGTTAGTCTGTATTCGCAAAAAGAAAAGGAGGACTTGTGGCACCTTAGAGACTAACCAATTTATTTGAGCATAAGCTTATGAAAGATTATGCTCATATAAATTGGTTAGTCTCTAAGGTGCCACAAGTCCTCCTTTTCTTTTTGTGATAGGTGTGTGGCCCTTGCTACTCGGAGCAAGCCACCACTCGACTGGGAGGATGCATCTGTGTACCCTGAAGGCAGGAAGCTTGTCTCTGTCTCCACATGCAGCCTTAACTGAATGCAGCCAGCAGTGGGGTGTGGAGCCAGGAAGACGTTTCAGCTTCTGCTCTCTAGGGCAGTGTGTCTGGAGGGTGAGGGGAATGGCAGAGCTTCCAGCTGGTGTGTTCTTCCTTGCTATGTATCGCAGCAAGGATGAGAAGTTACAGAAGTAGCAGGGATGTTAGCAGCAGTACCGTGGTCGAAAGCAACCATGGCTCTTGTGGAGGGGAGAGGAGGCAAACAGCATGGTTCCCCATAGTGCATTGGAAGCTGGTGGGTTATTTTTGAAATCTAAAACAAAGTTCTAAAATAGTAAATCATGCATGAGTGCAAAACCTGAGCCCCCTCGGCCCCGTATAGCTCAGCCTGGCAGCTGGCAGGTTGGATTTACGAGCGCCCAGAGAAGCCTCTTCTCCCCCAAGCAAATTCACCCACAATCTGGCCCAAAGTCCCCTTGCATTGCTTAAACCCTGACACAGAGCAGGCTGGAGGAGGCAATGTTTGGATCGCATAGAGTAAACGTCGCTGGCTCCAGGCCACCGGCTTCCTCTGAGGTCTGTTGGGAGCAAGGAGGAACTATGGTGCAGCAGGGGCAGGAGCAGTCAGGGTGGCTTGCATGACACTCCACCTAATCTCTGGTTGACACAGAAGCCAAGCGTTGCTTTAAATTACACCCAGGCCATTTTGACTCCTGGCCAGCCCTGGTCCCTCAGGGACCCCCCCACCCCCACACTCTCTGTTCTCAGTTCTGAGGAACTGCCAGGCCTCCGACCCAGCATTGCTCCTGGAGCTTTGCAGCAGTGACGTTACAATTAAAGATGTTTTGAGAAGGAACAGAAACCGGGCTTGTGCCTTTTTCTCTTACACACCTTCTGGGGCCCCGAGAAGTCCTCCAGCAAAACCAGGCAAGGCCAAACGCAACTCCCTATGCCTTCAGGGGGAAGCTGAGGTTCCTCATCATCCCCCAGGATCGGGCCCCAAAGCCATTTATCACTTTCTGCAAGAACTCTCTCTCTTTGCTGAAATTTCTCATGCCAGGAGAACTGTAGAGTCCCTGGGTCTACCCTGTTTTCAGAGTAACAGTGCTGTGCATGGCCTATCCACAGCAAGAAACAGATCAGGAGTCTTCAAATGTAGCTGATCTGACAAATCTTTGTCGGTTCCAAGTTGAAGGCTCATGTGGAAAATTCAGCCTTTGCTGTTCATGGCAGGGTTAGGTTTCAAAACCAGGCCAGTAAATTCCCATGTAATCAAACTGGCTAATATGTTACAGGTCAGTAACCAGAGCAGGTACATAAAAATTTATTAGCGGGTTTGGCAAATTCATTGCATCCTCAGTGTTGTGAGCCAGTTCAGTACAGCTTCCAGGAGCCGGACAGGAAAAAATCTCTTCAGTTAATGGTGACTCAGTGCTCTGGCTCCTTGTAAATGTGGGATTTTTAGCAGACAAATACACGCTGGATTCCATCCCGCAACCTTGTCCAATAGGCATGTAATAAAGCAATTATCTTCTTCACGCATGTCAGCCTTAGATATGGTCTGAATCCAGATACCCCGGAGCGTAGGGGATGTTTGGCTTCAAGTCGGAACTTCTTGGCTATAATGGACTAAACCCGGATCCGAACTTGCAATCAGTTTGGATCAGGATGAGAAGTAGTCTGAGTCCATCCCTAGGAGAAACCCAATGGTGAAAATGATAATCACGGGCTGTCTCTTCTTCTCAGCTGCTACCCCTTGCCAGTGCATTATAGGTGCTTCTTGGAGAGAGCTGGTGTGCGCATTAACTATGGGCTTAAATCTGCACCACAACTCTGCCCCTGAAAGATGCCACCCATTGCTAGGCAGCAAAACAACTTTGACTTTCATTGTAGCAGAACACCTGCTCTGCTACAGTTCAGGTTGATCTGAAATTGTTCTGTAGCATCTGAGTGTAGAGTGATAGCATGAGCATTACTGATGTGTTGGGGCATAGCACAAAGAGGGCGCTGTTAAGGTTGTTTTGTGGGGGTGATATTAGTATATTTCCTGTTTTTCAGAGGTTTACATTAGCTATTCTCCATATCCTGGAAAGACACAAGGCTTGGCTGGCCAACCTTAGCTCTATGTTAATGAAGTTTGGGCATTTAAGTTCGGTGCTGTACAGACATGTAGTAAGAGATTGTCCTTATCTCAAATTGCTTCCCGCCTAAATAATCAAGATGGACAAAGAATGGGTGAGAAAAAAAATGCTATTTATCCCCATTTTACAATAGGAAACTGAGGCCCAGAGAGACCAAGTGACTTGCTCAAGGCCATGTACAGCGGCAGAGCTAGGAATTGAACTTTTCATGATGGTTATTAGTTAAAGTCTGGAACCCCTGGTGTCTGAGTGGGATCCCTAATGTAGGCTTTACACCCATGGTGTGTGTTTTTGTGCTCCGCAGACGGGAAGCCTATTTCCATGGACGTGATTGTGTTAGGCCGGACCAACCTCCTAATTCCTCAGGCCCAGCCCCATCACTCTGGCGTGTACGTCTGTCGGGCGAACAAACCCCAGACCCGGCAGTTTGTTACAGCTGCGGCTGAGCTCAGCGTCCTCGGTGAGTTGACAGAATAAACGTTTCAGATGTAAGTACCACCCCGGATAATTGCTTTCCCCCTAGAATCACATCCAGAGGCCCCCCTAGAAGGGATGCTCACAGCTCCCTCGCTGTGTCTAAGAGGGGAACGTAATTAGAAGGAAGCCATCAGGTCCCAATCATTCAGTCCGAGCATGGAATAGTTCTCAGTGGCGTTATTACCACCATTTAATTTTTTTTCCTTTCCGAAGCATTTTTTTTCTTTCTGCAGCGTTCCCTTGTGAAAGCGACCAACTTCCACTCTTATGGAAGCCCCTGGGGAGAACAGCCTAGGAACAGGGAGGGAGTTGATACTGATTTTTTGGGGGCTAGTCTCAATTAAGCCTCAAGAGTTTGCCTGGCAAACCTCCCATGCACCTGGAGCTGTTTCAGACCTAATGTGGCCTGGGAGGAAAGGGCTCGCCTTGGCTTTTTCTTTTTGACCGTCCTTTCTCTGCTGTTCTTTCAGCACCTCCCAGCATCTCCCAGTCTCCCGAAACCATTTCCCGCACCCGGGCCAGCACTGCCAGGTTTGTGTGCAAAGCAGAAGGGGAGCCAGCCCCCGTCATCCACTGGCTGAAGAACGGAGAGGCCGTCCTGTCCAATGGCCGGGTGAAAATTCAGAGCAGTGGCAGCCTGGTGATCAACCAGATCGGGCTTGAGGACGCCGGCTATTACCAGTGCGTGGCGGAGAACAGGCTGGGGATGGCGTGTGCCACGGCCAAGCTCTCGGTCATTGTGCGGGAGGGCTTGCCAAGTGCTCCCAAGAAGGTGTCAGCCGTCTCCCTGTCCAGCACCACTGTCTTAGTGTCCTGGGAGCGTCCAGAGTACAACAGCGAGCAGATCATTGGCTTTTCCCTGCATTATCAGAAGGCCGTGGGTAGGTGCTCTCAGTTTGCGTAGTTCGGTTGTCACCACCGTCGTAGAATAGCGGTGATAACACGAATCCACATGCTGCATGTCCCCTTTGTGGGCTTGTGCTTCCTTCTTTATTTTTTAACTACATCGTGCATGGACAGGAGCGGCTGTTCGCGTGTTATCATGTCAGACAGGGTGTGATCAAGCTGGGTGTGCTTAGCCTGGGAGTTCAGGCAGCTGTAGTGTGGTATTTGCAGGGCCTCCTCAGAGAACCTGCCTCTCATACTATTGACTTCTCCCCACTAGGGTCAGAGAAATCTAGTGAGTCAGTGGGGTTTCAGAGCACTTTACCCTAGGATTTTTTTGGAAGCTCAGTTTGTATGGCAGAGCTGCACCTCAGACCCCGCCCCCCAATGATTGTTAAGGCTGTTGTTATATTAATGGGACAGAGCTAAGGGTTTGAAGCCTTAAGACCACCTCTGTCTCTTCTTACCCAATTTTGCACGTGCAATTCATTGCACTTACCAGTTTTGCACATGCATATTGGGCAGTTGGGTGCCCATCTCCCCATTCTGTGCATGCAAGTGGCCACTTTTGTGATGCAATCAGTTGCATGAACAGACTTGGCCATGCAAAAGTGGAAGCCTGGGATGAAAATTTGACCTTGAGCATCTCTGGGGAATGCATGTTCGAAACAGGCCTTGGTGCATCCCACAGATACAATGAAGAAATAACCATGCTGGGATTCTAATCTGGGATCCCAGCCAGACTAAGTAGTTTCCTACCTTCCAAATCACTATTCCGTCTTCTGGATAGCTGTGAAAAACTGAAAGAAGAGTAGGTGAACATCTGTAGTGTGCTCATCAGGACACTTCTGAAAAATTTTACCCTTGGTGATTTAGGAGCTTAAATCCCATTGATGTAGACACTGCTGAAAACTTTTCCGTTAGTCTTTATTCCCGTATGACACTGCTGTCCTTTTGATTTTATGTACACTTATTATGATTAAGGCTAAGATTTGTCACTGATATTTTTAGTAAAAGTCACGGACAGGTCACGGGCAAAAAAAGAAAAATTCATGGGAGCCGTGACCTGTCCGTGACTTTTACTAAAAATATCCCTGACAAAATGGAGATCTGCGGGTCCCCACACTGCCTGAAGTGGGGCAGCTGCACAGGGCTAGGAGCCGCTTGCAGCTCTGGGGGCCCCCACTGCTCGTGGGGGCCAGAAGCTGTTGGGTTCCTCCCCCACTGGCAGCTCCAGGGGTTCCCCGCTGCCCGGGGCAGCCAGGAGCTCGGGGGTTCCCCAGGGACGGCCAGGAGCTTGGGGGTTCCCCCACCACCTGTGGTGGATGGAAACTGCAGGGTACCCCACCACCTGCTGCAGCGGTACCCCACAGCTCCCTGCCCCCACAGGCAGCGGGGAACCCTGCAGCTCCCAACCACCGCAGGCTGAAGTCACGGAGGTCGCTGGAAGTCACGGAGTCTGTGACTCCCACAACGTCCGTGACTAAAGCGTAGCCTTAATTATGATCAGTGAATGTACAAAACACCAGAAAGACGCTTGGTGCCAAGGGGCAATGACAGTGACTAAAACGGTCAAAGTTGGGTGCCTAGACGGTAGGTGTCTACATCTACAATCTGAATCAGGGGTCTGACTTTCAGAGAATTGAGCTGAGAATCTCCCACGTCTGCGGATGTCGGTGGGAAGCAAGAGCTCACGTGAAATCAGGCTGCTTATTTAGGTGCCTTAGTATGGATTTAGGTGCTTAACTTTGGCTAAAACGCTCACACATAGGCATCTAATGTCCCTGCCCGATGAGCTCAGTGTCTAAGTTAAGATTTGCCAGAACATGACGGGAGAGGGTGACAGAGGGAGGACAAGGGGTATGCCATAATGGTTTCAAAGAGGGAAAGTTACAGTTTGTAGGTCTTGTGGAAGAGCTGATTTTGGACTTGACCAGTGTCTTGCTTCCTGCTGGTTGTACTGATGATGGGTTTTTGCATTGTCTCTAGGAACTGATAATGTAGAATACCAATTTGCTGTCAATAATGATACCACTGAGCTTCAAGTGAAAGACCTGGAACCCAATACCAATTATGTTTTCTACATGGTTGCATACTCCCAGCTAGGAGCCAGTCGGACGTCCTCTTCCATTATCGTGCGGACCCTGGAGGATGGTGCGTTGAGTAGACGTGCACGGGTGTGTCTGAAAGTATTATCCAGCGATCAAGAAATCGTTACGCTTCACAAATGGAGACGTCACAAGACACCCTCCAGAGCATGGTGTCAGCTTGCAGAAATCCAGACGCGCTGCGAAGGTGGCCTGTTGCGACTGGATATTTATTGAAGCTTTTTTTTTTTCTTCAGAGAGTGGGGAATAGTGATCTGCATGGGCAGCAACAGACATTAGATATTATCCTGCTGTCTTCTGATCCTGGTTCAGTTGACACACAGGCACCATTACTTGAAGTGAATTCAGCCGGTCTGGATTTTTACTTAGGTAACAGTGATTTTGCTCCATGTGGACTTGATCCAAAGCCCACTGAAGCAAACGGAAAGACTCCCATTAACTGGGGTCAGGCCTGCAGTCAAGTCTATTAAAAGATTATATTTTGCATTTATATCACCTTTCATTCCAAGTGTTCCAAAGCGTTTCTTAAACAGTATATACAGAACACTGCCAAAATGCAGCCGCACAGGGGCTGGAGGGCACTGCCAACTAGCCCATAACATGCCATAGGACAGTGGCATTAAGGGGAAATTTTGGCCACATACCAGGCAAAGCCCTTCTGTTATGGGATCTGTAATGTCCATACATGACTTGTAAAGTTTAATCTGAAATTCACCCACATAGTAAACTGCAGGATGCCTGTGTAATGGGGTACAGTCACTGCTGGGGGCGCCCCCTTGTGGCCGGGTCTGGGGATTATGTCTCATACAGTCTAGTGCCCCTTTCCATCAGTCATTCCGTTGCTGAAGTGGCCTCTCCTCCATTACTTCACAGCACTCGCTCTTCATGACTCAGCCCTCCAGATGGGTCACTTTATAGCCTTCCCCCGCCGCGGTCCCGAAGTCCCTCCGGACCAACTGTCCATACACTGTCTCAGTCTTCCGTGCCAATTACCAGTCTGTGCCACTTCCCCAGTGGCTGCTAAGGAAACCTGGGCCCACCCACTACTCCAGGTGACCACTCAGGGACCCTATCATCAGCATCCAAGGTCTACACAGTCTCAACTCTTGCTGCTCTGTCCCTGGGCTTCTTCCTGCTTTGCCTTCCACAGGCTTTCTTCCCCATACCACCCCTGGGTGAACCCCTTCCGTCTGGGACAGGATCCCAGGGCATTCACCTCCCCCTGGGTTTCCACCTCTCTCTGCCCAGAGTATGACTGTAGACTCTCTTCCTGCAGCTCTCCACTTCCTGGCTTATACAAGCCCAGCCTGCTCCTGCCCAGCTGGTCTTCATCTTCAGTTAGACTTTTTCAATCAATCCTGACTCTCCCCCCGGTGCGGTAGAAGGTTAATTGGCCCCTTCTGAGCCACCATAATCCCGTCAGGGCTGGCATGGGGTGAACTCCCTGTCACAATCTGCCTCGGAAGTATGAACAGCTGCCTGGAATACAGATCTGTGGTTCTAGGGAGACTTGTTTTTCAAACCTGATGCTTAGATCCTTGAGCCATCCCCTGTGGCATTAAATCTCTCTGTTTCCATGGCAAAAAACTGAAAGCAGATAGGCCTGTCTAAAGCAAACTCCCAAATCCTTAGTGGAACAGGGAGCATTTCTGAGCGTCCTTAGGATATCTGTGTTTAAATTCTGGAAGCAAACAGGTAATGAGACCTTGAAATGCTAGTGGGGCAAAGACAGAAGTGGAAGCTGTTGTGGTCCAATCACAGGCATTAAGTATGTGAGACTCAACACAGGGCATGGAGTGTCAGCATGCCCCCAGCAGTTACGATTGTATGCTCTGCAGGGACAATACTTTCAGGACTGAGGACACCCAAGGTTCACCTGCCCAGAGGAATGGGTCAGCTTGGGCAATCCCAAAGCCAATCCCTGAACCTCTGAAGCCCCTTGGTTCAGACATACATGCTCCCAAGTGGAGCTAATCCCCAGTTGCGCCTCTTGTTGAAGCAGCTTGTTGCTCTTGGTTTTGGACTGAGGAGATGTCTCATCTGTTCGTTGCTTTTGCCCCAGTTCCCAGTGCTGCTCCTCAGCTGTCTCTGTCAAGTACAACCCCGGCCGACATCAGAGTGACGTGGCTGCCTCTCCCTCCGGAGCTGAGCAATGGGAAGATAACAAAATATAAAATTGACTACTGCACCCTCAAGGAAGGTGAGGAGGAAATGTGCTCAGTGAGAAGCAGAGATTGGCGCATTCAGTGCGTTATTGCAGTTCTCAGAAATGTATTGTGTGTATGGTTAATGCTGGCAAAAGGTGCTGGGCTGAAAACCTTTAGGACCCAGAGGCCTTTGTTTATCCATATCCATACAGCATAGAGACCAGCCCTGCAGGTGTCCCCATACTGCCCCACTGATGTGCCTCAAACCTCCCCTGAAAGGGTTAGACAGGAATTCACTCCCCAGCGCCCATTCTGTGGCCACCCTCCGCTGAGCTCTGCCATTGCACATGGGAACTGGACTGAGGATTGCATTTCACCCGGGCCACCAAATAACCACCAGAGGGTAACAACTTCTGGCTGTCCCTGGTGTTTTATGTGTTTTGAAAGGGGTGTAATGATTATAGGGGTAGATGGGGAAGAGCATTCGATGAATTGTAATTGTAATAAATCAGATCATTGTGTCAAAATAAAACCGGTATCCCGGCAAGCCCATGTAACCACATTTGCCAGGTTTCGGCTTTATCTGGTTTTATTATATTGTTAGCCAGTACACTAACCCTTCAGTGGGGACATGGGCACTTTCTCATCGGTGCCGGCGTCCCAACCCCTAAAGCTTTCCTAGCTCTGCAGCTGGTCACCTCCAGGATGTAGGGAGGGGATTGGGAATGTGACAGTGACGGGTTTGAGCTGTATTTCTGTTCTGCACCGTGACACCTGGTTCTTGGGTTTATTCTTGGCGCCTAAAAGCGGTTGCACCCAACCCGATGAGTCAGTGGGAAGCGTTTGAAACGTGTGCACCACGGGGGTGATGTGGGGTTGTTTAAGGTGTATCCGCACTGCAGCTGGGAGGTGGGATTCCCAGGGCGGATAGACAGTCCTGCGCTAGCTCAGCTCGAGCTAGCGCGCTAAAAATAGCCGTGTGACTTTTGCAGCACAGCTGTCAGCTCGGGTTAGCCACCTGAGCTCAGGGCCAGGGGATCGGGCGTGCTTGGATTCGGGCGGCCAGCCTGAGCTGCCGCCAGACCTGCAGCTTCCACACGGCTGCTGTTAGTGCACTAGCTGGAGCACACGTTTGTCTACCTGCGCCTGGAAACACACCTCCCACCTGCAGTGTAGACGCAGTCTTAATGTTAAAGAACTGGGGCAAAATTCCCACAGGAGCTCAAACAGGGTGAATCGTTTAAACGTGACCTTTACATTAACCATAGGGCCACTGTTTGAATCTCTAGCAAGTCTGATCTTTGCAGCTCCAATGGAAATCTCCCACCAGGCTCTGTTTAAATCTTTAGCTGAACGTACCTTATAACAGAGATGATCTGAGGAGGCAGTGTTCAAATTTGGGTCTGGGTTTGGATTAGATTTAGGCTGGATTTGAAATGCCATGAGTCAGGGGTAGGTTCTTGGTTCATATCAGTTAATTCAGGCTAGCATTTGGCTGCAGATTTGATGGCACCAAAATCTCAGTAGGGGCTCTTCTGAGATTTTGGCCCAAGGTATTGAGATGTCCACCATCTAGAAGGGTGGAAATTTCACTCCATCAGCTGTTCTCGTGAGATTTCTGCCAGCTTCACGCTGTCTCACGATTCCTGCTGTATCCAGACTGGAATTGTGTGTGTTCAGTGGGGAGAACAGACCCCTTCCTGTTCTGAATGTGACCCAGAATCGAAGCCGGAAAGGGATTGCTGAATCACGATTCCAGTTTTGGCCCGTCTCTAGTTATAAATCATCATCGCGCTGTTACGTGACAATGTGACATGGAGGGAAGTTTGCCTCTGGGCCGAAGGCCAGCACAGTGCACCATGCAAGTCTCACCTCAGCTTATTTGTAGCCCGGATCTCGCTCTGCTGGCCCTCGGCACAGGGGCGAATTCACTCGGATTGGAATAAAGAAGTCTAACTGGGGTTTCCTTGGCTCTGGCAGATCAGATCTCCTCCACCGAGGTGGGTGCAAATGAGACGCAAATCACCCTTGAGTCTCTCCATCCCAATAAAGTCTACAAAGTGCGCATTGCGGCCAGCACCAGTGCAGGGTATGGGGCCCCGTCGGAGTGGACGCAGCACCGTACTCCTGACAAGGACAACCAAACACACGGTAGGGGGCGTGGCGTGCGTGGCATAGCTCCTTTCTCTTCGCTGGGGCTTGTAGCACCGCCATGAGGGTGGGAGGTCAATACCATGATCCCCATTTCACAGATGGGGAAGCTGAGGCAGTTAGACTATACGGCTTACCCAACCTCACATAAGGTTGTGTCTACACTAGGGAATTGTAGCACTAGGTCCCAGGCACACCAGAACCCCTTCCCTAGGTTTCCATTTAGTGTAGGAAACCAGAATGCTTTCCCCTGTCCCTTGCTGCTGGGTGTGTTGGTGATGGGTCCTTCTCCCCACCACCTCACAGATCTTCCTCAGGCTGCAGGTTATAAGCAAGGGCTGATGAAAAATGAGTGTGGACATGTCTGGAAGTGGGTTGACAAAATTAACATACCAAAATGAACGCAGAGCCAACAGACAGCAGCCGTAAAGGTGGTGCTGTAGCTAACTCAAAATAGGGCAGGTAAACTCCACCCCACCACAGTAGCTCCCAATCACCAGTTCTGCCTGCTAGACTGCACCCCCTTGCTATGTAGATGAACATCAGTTCTGTTATTCTGTGTTTATCTGGTTGGCCCATGCAGTGACAGAATTGTGACCGCTCCTCTCTGCCACATCAGGCGCATGTCCCCTCACTGGGACAGACCCTGCCTGTCCTTCAGGGGTGGAGAGAAGGAAGCCCCTTAGCAAAGGAAGGAAACACCGAGGAGTTGCTGAAATGTGGGTTTCTTTCCTCTTGTTTTTCTAGTTCCATTTGCCCCGACAGAATTAAAGGTCCGAGCGAAAATGGAATCCCTCCTGGTCACTTGGCAACCCCCAGCCAACCACGCCCAGATTTCAGGCTACAAGCTGTACTACCGGGAAGTGGGCACAGAAGAGTCAAGTGACGAAAACCCCTCTGATGGCACGGAAGAGGAGAGCTGGGATGTGGGGCCCATAAAGCTAAAGAAGAAAATGAAGCAGTATGAGTTAACTCGACTAGGTTAGCTGGTTAAGTCTACTTCTTACCAACATGTACTGGCACCGTGGTTCCACCTTGCAGTGCAAGGAGGTCGTGATCAAGAACTTCTAAGAAGGGGCAAAGTTCTTTGGCTGCAAGCCCTTCAGCTGTACCATTGCATCTTACAGAGTCTGCTGAATGTACCTGACTTCTAAAGCTCCTCCCACTGTTAAGTCTTTAGCCTAACTGTTGCAGGGATGAGTGTACTGAGAGTTTAGGGGGCAGAAATTAACCTCTGTCTCGTTCAGGTACTTGTGAGACCACCTGTCAGTGCAGGATCCGAGTGCTAAATTATTTTCATAATAGTAAATATTAAAATGCAGAAACTCCTGAAAGCTAATGTAGTGACAGATTATTCTCTAATCCGTGATTAAATAATATCTGGTGAAGCACAGATTGAAATGGTTGGTGTATCCTACGTTCGTATCTCAAAACTCAGGTCACAACAATCATCTGTCCCCACCTACATATTTCTAAGAACCTCTCATAGAATCATAGAAGATGAGGGTTGGAAGGGACCTCAGGAGGTCATCTAGTCCAACCCACTGCTCAAAGCGGGACCAATCCCCAACTAAATCATCCCAGCCAGGGCTATGTCAAGCCGGGCCTTAAAAACTTCTAAGGATGGAGATTCCACCACCTCCGTAGGGAACCTATTCCAGTGCTTCACCACCCTCCTAGTGAAAACGTTTTTCCAATATCCAACCTAGACCTCCCCCACTGCAACTTGAGACCATTGCTCCTTGTTTTGTCATCTGCCACCACTGAGAACAGCCCAGCTCCATCCTCTTTGGAACACCGCTTCAGGTAATTGAAGGCTGCTGTCAAATTCCCCCTCACTCTTCTCTTCTGCAGACTAAATAACCCCAGTTCCCTCAGCCTCTCCTCATAAGTCATGTGCTCCAGCCCCCTAATCATTTTTGTTGCCCTCCGCTGAACTCTCTCCAATTTGTCCACATCCTTTCTGTAGTGGAAGGCCCAAAACTGAATGCAATACTCCAGATGTGGCCTTACCAGTGCTGAATAGAGGGGAATAATCACTTCCCTGAATCTACTGGCAATGCTCCTACTAATGCAGCCCAAAATGCCATTGGCCTTCTTGGCAACGAGGGCACACTGCTGACTCATATCCAGCTTCTCGTCCACTGTAATCCCCAGGTCCTTTTCTGCAGAACTGCTGCTTAGCCAGTCAGTCCCCAGCCTGTAGCGGTGCATGGGATTCTTTCTTCCTAAGTGCAGGACTCTTCACTTGTCCTTGTTGAACCTCATCAGATTTCTTTTGGCCCAATCCTCCAATTTGTCTAGGTCACTCTGGACCCTATCCCTACCCTCCAGCATATCAACCTCTCCCTCCAGCTTGGTGTCATCTGCACATTCACTGAGAGTGCAATCCACGCTCATCCTCCTGATCATTAATGAAGATTTTGAACAAAACCAGCGCCAGGACCAACCCCTGGGGCACTCCGCTTGATACCAGCTGCCAACTAGACACTGAGCCATTGATCACTACCTGTTGAGCCTGACGATCTAGCCAACTTTCCATCCACCTTATAGTCCATTCATCCAGCCCATACTTCTTTAACTTGCTGACAAGAATACTGTGGGAGACCGTATCAAAAGCTTTGCTAAAGTCAAGGTATATCATGTCCACCGCTTTTCCCATGTCCACAGAGGCAGTTATCACATCACAGAAGGCAATCAGGTTGGTCAGGCATGACTTGCCCTTGGTGAATCCACGCTGACTGTTCCTGATCACCTTCCTCTCCTCCAAGTGCTTCAAAATGGATTCCTTGAGGACCTGCTCCATGATTTTTCCAGGGCCTGAGGTGAGGTTGACCAGTCTGTAGTTCCCAGGATCCTCCTTCTTCCTTTTTTTAAAGTTGGGCACTATATTTTCCTTTTTCCAATCGACCGGGACCTCCCCCGATCACCACGAGTTTTCAAAGATAATGGCCAGTGGCTCTGCAATCACATCAGCCAACTCCCTCAGCACCCTCGGATGCAATAGATCCGGACCCATGGACTTGTGCACGTCCAGCTTTTCTAAACAGTCCTTAACCTGTTCTTTCACCACTGAGGGCTGCTCACCTCCTCCCCATACTGTGCTGCCCAGTGCAGCAGTCTGGGAGCTGACCTTGTCTGTGAAGACCGAGGCAAAAAAAGCATTGAATACTTCAGCTTTTTCCACATCCTCTGTCACTAGGTTGCCTCCCCCATTCAGTAAGGGTCCCACACTTTCCCTGACCACATTCTTGTTGCTAACATACCTGTGGAAACTCTTCTTATTACCCTTCACATCCCTTGCTAGCTGCAACTCCAGGTGTGCTTTGGCCTTCCTGATGACACCCCTGCATGTTCGAGCAATATCTTTATACTCCTCCCGATTCATCTGACCAAGTTTCTACTTCTTGTAAGATTCCTTTTTGTGTTTAAGTTCACCGACGATTTCTCTGTTAAGCTAAGGTGGTGGCCTGCCGTACTTGCTATTATTTCTGCACATTGGGATGGTTTGTTCCTGCACCCTCAATAAGGCTTCTTTAAAATACAGCCAGCTCGCCTGGACTCCTTTCCCCCTCATTAGCCTCCCAGGGGATCCTGCCCATCGGTTCCCTGAGGGAGTCAAAGTCTGCTTTTCTAAAGTCCAGGGTCTGTATTCTGCTGCTCTCCTTTCTTCCTTTTGTCAGGATCCTGAACACGACCATTTCATGGTCACTGCTGCCTAGGTTGCCACCCACTTCTACTTCCCCTACCAATTCTTCCCTGTTTGTGAGCAGCAGGTCAAAAGTAGCATGGCCCCTAGTTGGTTCCTCCAGCACTTGCACCAGGAAGTTGTCCCCAACACTCTCCAAAAACTTCCTGGATTGTCTGTGCACTGCTGTTTTGCTCTCCCAGCAGATGTCAGGTCCCCCATGAGAACCAGGGCCTGTGATCTGGAAACTTCTGTTAGTTGTCCGAAGAAAGCCTCCCCGTCCTGGTCTGGTGGTCTATAGCACATGCCCACCATGACATCACCCTTGTTGCTCTCGCGTCTAAACTTAACCCAAAGGCTCTCAACAGGCTTTTCTCCAGTTTCATACTGGAGCTGTGAGCAATCATACTTCTCTCTTACATACAGTGTATGTAAGATGCATCTCTAATGCAGCCAAGTGTGTTTGTTACTTAAGGTTAAAAAGCACATGAGATGTCTGCTCCAGATTAAAATACAGCCGTGAGTTAATCCTCACCACACTGCTCTCAGGTTGGTATTATTTTCCCCATTTTACAGAGGAGAAAAATTGAGGCAAAAAGGTTCAGAGCTGGTGGTCAGAGAATGAGTCTGAGTCACAGCTGGGATAATAAGCCGCAATCAGATCTGAAGGACAACCTTAGCTAACAAGGTGCTTGTAACCATTTACTACAATAGACTATCTGTATAGTATCTGACTAGAGTAATTAGTTAATTAACCAACTGATAAGAAATCCGACATGCCACGAGTACTCTTGAAATAGGACTCTCCTACTTAGACGGTTTCCCTTCTTTGCCCCATGGCTCACCCTTGTAATTGTCGCATTCTGTAACTAGTTGGTTAATTACTAGGCTCAGAGGTACAATATATAGGGCTCTATGGGACTGATCTTCAGCTAGTGTAAAATCAGCATAATTCCCTTGAAGTCAATGCAGTTGTGCTGATTTTTGCCAGCTGAGGATCTGGCCCCATGTAGTGCAGCATTTTGCTTTGTTGACAAAGGCCAGCTGTTGAAACAGCAGTCTGAGTGTGCTTGCTAGCTTGATTTACACACCTCACATATATTATGGATGGTTTAACAGTCAATATATAGGACCTGGGAGGCTAACTTATGTCACCACTAAATAAACTTTCCCCGTCTAGAATCGCTTTACAGCTGTGTCTACTCGTAGCCTGGAGAGGGTGTTAGCAATTACAAGCCACTCTGAAGAATTTAGATCTGTAATTACTGCATGGAGGAAACCACATCTGTACATCATGTACTGTCCTTACCACTGACAAACCAGCAAGGAGAGTGGCTCAGGAATGATCTGAATTGGTTCCAAATGCTCCGGCAAATCAGTGCTCAGAACATCACTTGTTCATCCGTAATTACTTCCTTACATTTGGGCATCAATCATCTCTTGATGGTTTCCTTATGATGGGGCTGACGTGGATTAACTAGCGTAACTTCATGAAGAGGCTGAACTGTCTTCCAGTTGGGAGCGTCCTCTTTTGCTTTTCTGTGGAATGACGAGCTCTTGGGGGCTTGGAAAAGGGATGGGGTAGAAGCACCTAGTGTACGCTGAGAATGCAAAGGTGATGGGGAAGGCAGGGGAGTGTGAAAACCCAGCAAAAGTCGAAGTATGAGCATGCTAATTGAAGGCTAGACTGTGCAACCCTTGCACTGGTGGGCGCCAGCTCACACAAGCAGGTGTTGATTTCATTGAGGCTACATGTGCGAGTCAGGATTGCACAATCTGGATCATGGGCACTTGGCGAGAATATCGCAATTCAGTTGGGACGAGGGATTGGATAAGGAACTGCAAAGTATTAAAAAGGGAACAGAGTCAGGAAAATCATTGTGCAGGAAATAGGAGAAATGGGACATCGTAATCAACACAAGTCTGTCGTTCCGGGCTTAATCCTGACATGTGTTGGCTCCAAGAATTCTCACTGAGTTCAGTGGACATTCTAGGCCTGACTCTAGCAATTAATCACTAGTAACGGAATGTAACCCAAGGGCCGGGATCTAGAAGAAAAAGAAACACTGAGGGCCTAATTGTGCCATCCATGTTAATGGCTAGTAAGTAGTACCTTACTTTGGGAGCGGTACCAGGTACTTTTTAGCCTGAGAAAGGGTGGGAGAGTTAATGCCCAAATGAGCACTTAAGAAAATGAATGCAAAAATATATATTAGTCTATTGGAAATATTACAGCCATCCAGATCCCATATTTGAAGCGATGCAGCCTAGATTATTCTGGATCAATTTAATATAGGCATACACATATATAAGGGGATATAACAAAATAGACCTGTTTTCACCCTGCCTGCTAGCTTCGATAGCAATTCTTGAAAGGTTGATAAAACGTCAAGTCTGTAAGCTTTCAGATATTGAACTTCTGAGCCTTGATTATAAGAAACAGGAGCCTAACTCCAGCTTTCGAAAACCAACGTGGCCTGATTGTCAGTGGCTAGGTGGTGCAGTGGAAATGATCCGGATTCGTATGCCAGGGGTCGCAGATACAAATCCCAGCTTCTAGATTGCATAAGTGGCAAAAATTGATGCTAAGAATCTCCAGAGTTATAACTGCTGCCCCTTGCAGAAAGTTTGCAGTATCAAACTTCGTGTTTCACAATCTCTATTAGAGATCAGGATGAGGAGCAGATTATCTCACGTCCGCTTGCTGTATGGTTTCCTGTACCTTCCTCTGAAGCATCTGGTGCTGGCCACTCTCCCAGACTGGGCTAAATGGACCTCAGGTCTGATCCAGTCTGGTAATTCCTATATAAGTACTGAGCACCCGGCTGCAACTTCTGGTGTCAATGGGATCTGCTGGATACTTGCACTCCTGGAAATCTGGGCTCTAAGTTAAGTGCCTAAATGGGGATTTAGGAGCCTGACTTTAGGCTCTCATCATTGTAAAATTTTGGCCATGATGTTTAAAAGGAAAAAAGTCGTTACTGTATTAACAGTGTATGCGGGCACAGTGAGACTTGGCCTTTCCTTCCTGTCTTCGTGCTATTTCTTCCAGGGCAAGTTGTCCATTTTGCAACATCTTCCTTCTTGCCCTAACGCTCCCCTACCCAAACCAGACTCATTTCCCAGTGTTCCTCTCAGAAGGTTTTGTGAAGCTGAGAAAGTAACGCACAGAGCGAAACTCTGAGCAAGCGTTTGTGGAGCGGGGCCATTGATCAGTTATGTGCCACTGAGCCTGAGAACTCAGCGACTCTGTAGTCCAACAATGATAGCCCCTGCCTCAGTGAATTTAAGAGGCTCTCCTTTGTCAGAGGAGGCATGAATGCAGGTCAGCCAGTCTGTTTTCATCATCGCGCAACACCAAGGCGGCTTTTGAGGGAGACAAAACTGTGTTTGCTTTGGGGAGCCTTTCAGCGTGAAGAATGTGGCCGAACTGTTTTTAGATTCCGAACGTGAACACGTATTGTGAAGCCAGGGCAGCCTTCCGAGCACCCTTGGGGTAATTGGCACCAATAGGCCCTGGGAGCATAATTGGCGCAATAATAATAAAATTGGCATCAGTGAGACGGGCTTTGTGCTGCTTACATTGGCACGGCAAAGGAGCCGGTGAGCCATCGGGGCAGGGGATGAATAGGCACATCCCTAATTAACAAACTTCAGCAGCTAAATGCAGCCGAGGGAACCAAAGAGACTATGGGCTGCTTTCAGCGCATTTCTGAACAAGGGACTAGATGTCTAGAGAGAATTGCCAGTTTCCCTCTATTTAAAAACTTTGAATCTTTTAAGTAGTTTCCTTGAATAAGCATCCTTGCTAAAATGTCCCCCAACATGGCAGGAGAGGCTTCTAGTTTGTGAAAGACCAGAAGAAAGAGGCAGGCAAGCTTTGCAACGGCCTTTTGGACTGTGTGAGCTAAGTTTGGTGTCCGTTGTCGGAACTAACGAAAGCGCAGCTAATGCTGCCGGGAGATATTCTGGGCCTTTTCCTGCAACCCCGTTTGGGGTCAGTGGGAGAATTTCACTTGAAACGGGGATCTCTGTTTCCTTTCTGAAGGCGCCTGGCTTTATTATTAAAGCAGCTGTGTCTGAGAAAGCGGTAGGCTCTGTTTGTTGTTGTGCGCACCAGAGTTTTTCTGACTGTAAGAATTTCTCTTGGTAGATGAGACAGATTGGGACCGATCCTGTGCTTCTGTGTGCACCAAAAATTCTTGTCAACTTTAATAGAAGTTTTCAAGGTGCAAGGAATTGCAGGATCCAGCACTGTGTCTTTAAAAATACCCCCTCCCCGTGGCTGTACAATGTATCCTTCTGATCAGAATACATGAACTGGGCTTTCCCTGAGCAGAGGTTATTGGCACAGTCACACCATGAGAGAAGTTTTCCCACTAGGCTAAGGGGCTGCTGAAGGGCCCTCTGCATAATTAGAAGGTGATTGATTTTGTTTTGTAGATTTGCAAGGGTGTTGTTGAGTTACAAGGATAAATTTAATGTGATGCTTTTGTTTACTTTGGATGGTCAGCTTTAGTACACGTGTGTGTATGTGTGTGGGCGTGTGCAAGGGAGAGAGAAGTAAATACGCTTGTGTTCTGTGGTAGGTTGGTCTTGGATGGGAGCAAAAGGGAGTAAGGTCTAAGATATTTCTTAGAGCACTCGTTAGTGCAGTATCTAAGCAATCAATCTGAGGATCTAGCCCTAAATTACTGGGTAAAGCAACTGGAGCAAAGAGTATTAATGTGTCACCTATCTTTGGAGAGGCCATTGGGTTACCACCCATCCGGGTTTTCCCAGATAATCCTGCTCCAATGCTTGCAGGACATTTATAGCTCCTCGAACAACTCCCGGGACCTCTTAAGCGCAGTCATCTTGCACTGTGGGACAATGTCGTGATGAAGCTTTAATGCAACATGATGCTACCTTCAGTGATAGAGGCAGGCACACAGGATTGGGGGTCAGGAAATCGTGAGTTCTTATTATATTGGCTCTGCCACTGACTCAATCGGTGACCCTGAGCAAGTCACCTTGCCTCTCATAGAATCATAGAATATAAGGGTTGGAAGGGACCCCAGAAGGTCATCTAGTCCAACCCCCTGCTCGAAGCAGGACCAATTCCCAGTTAAATCATCATTGGCCTTGGTTTTCCCCATCGATAAAACGGGGATGATAACACTTTGTAGGGTGGTTGTAGCCTGATGAATTCGCTAATATCTGAATGTGGAATCTGAATGTTTTTAAGCCAGTGCAGCTCTGTTGAGATTGGGCAAAGATTAACTTCTGCTGAGTGATTTTTGCAACCAGAAACATCGTTCATTTTTCCAGCCCCAGGGAGACTCTATGAGGTGAAGCTGGTGGCGTTCAGTAAGCATGAAGATGGCTACGCGGCTGTATGGAAGGGCAAAACAGAAAAGGCATCAGCGACGGCAGTAGGTAAGCAATACCCCTGTGACTTCATAGGGCACTTCTGAGCTATTTCACCCGTGAGCTTCTGCCCACATGTTCTGCTCTCTTCTGCTCTGCCCGGGAGTCTAAGATAAAGGTCTGGGATAAAGATATGGAGGCAGACATTTAGGAATCAAAGAGACAGCAGTCGTGATCTAGCACTGGTGTCAAACATGATCACTTCCATGGAGAATGAGCAGGGCCATCCGAATTTTTAGAGCCACCAAAAAGTGGGTAATACAGATAAATAATAATACAGACAAATGCGTCAGTTTCATTATTTGTTTCCCTTAGTGGTGAAATTAGGCCATTATTGTGATCCACAAAGCGTATTCTATCTGTTCATGGTTAAGGCTAAGATTTTGTCACAGATATTTTTAGTAAAAGTCACGGACAGGTCATGGGCAACAAAGAAAAATTCATGGAAGCCGTGACCTATCCCTGACTTTTACTAAAAAGATCTGAGACAAAATGGGGATCTTGGGTGCCCACACCACCTGCAGCGGGGCGGCTGCGCAGGGGCTAGGAGCTCCGGGGGCCCCCACTGCGGATTGGGTGTCAGAGTTCAAGGTCCTCCCACCTATGGCTGGAAGCTGCCGGGGCCCCCCCAGCTGCAGTGGCCGGGAGCTTGGGGGTTCCCCTGCCGCCCATGCCCACAATGGCTGGGAGGTCGGGGGTTCCCCTGCTGCCCGCGGGGGCCAGGAGCTGTGGGGTACCTCAACACTCTGTGGCAGCTTGGAGCTCCAGGGGCCACCAGAGGCAGCGGGGGTACACTGGAGATCCCTACCCCCGCGGGCGGGGGTAGGGGTGGGACCCTGCAGCTCCCCACTGCTGCAGGCTGAAGTCACGGAGGTCGCTGGAAGCCACGGATTCTGTGACTTCTGTGACCTCCATGACTAAATCGTAGTACTTATGTTGCCCAGTACAATTGAATCTGAGCAGCTGGCAATCTTTAATTAATTTATCCTCGCACATCCTGGGAGGCAGGGCAGTTATCCCCATTGCACAGATGGGGAACTGAGGCAGAGAGTAACTAAGTGACTTGCCCAAGGTCACATAGGAAGCCTGTGGCAGAATAGAGAACTGAGCCCAGGTCTCCCCAGGCTAGTGCTCTAACCACTGGGCCCATCCTCCTCTTGATTCATCAGCAATGACTGCTCTTCTCTGTCCCATGCCACTGATACGTGTGTATTTCTTTCTTCTTCCTTCATGTACCATAGACCCTCCAGTTCAGAAGGGCCCCCCGCTGCCCCCAGCCCATGTCTATGCAGAGTCCAACAGTTCAACCTCAATTTGGCTCAGGTGGAAGAAACCAGACTTCACGACTGTCAAGATCGTCAATTACACCGTGCGTTTCAGCCCTTGGGGACTGAAAAATGCCTCTCTTGTCACTTACTACACAAGGTAAGTGTGTCGCGCAACAGGCTGAGCGACACAACAGCTTCCTTGTTGGAAAGAAAACAAACATACGGGAGAAACGTGGGAAACCTCGCGGCAGGGTGGTTTAGTATGTCCAGGACGCATGTGACTCTGACTTGTATCCATTAGCTCAATTCTAAATCAGGGCTGGGCAAAAAGCGGCTCCTGGAGAATGGTCCGTACCTGAAACACAGAGGTGGGGCTTAGGAGAAAGCAGGCATTTTTCCATCTTGATTTGTAGGGGCCAGCCTGCACTGCATGCTGGGATCTGTAGTTTCCACATCTTTGTATTAAGGATAAAGCCAGCTGAAGTATTTTCAGCCCCAAATATTCAGAGATCATGACATTTAAAAAAAATACAGGGTTTTGGTTTAAAAATCGTGACATTTAAAAATATATATATAACAAATTTGGCGTGGCTCGTACATTTGTCTTCTGGGTTTTGAGGCTTTAGCGGGGTCACGTTTTCAATCTTTTCTCTGCAAGAAAATCATAAATAAATGAACTGTCATGAAGGCTAGAAACATACTTTTATTTGAATGGAAGCTGTGATTCTCACGTAATCCCATGACTCCTGGAGCTTGGACTTTAAGAAACATATGAAAGATAGTGAGACTTGTGATAGAATTTGATCCGCTCCATTGCACTCACATCTTCTCTGGCCCATGGGCGCCTGGTAAGTTGCTGAGGTGGCCGGCAATGGGACCCCAGCCTGTGTTAATCTGCCCTGCGTGTCTGTGTTCCTTGGCAGTTCTGATGAAGCTATTCTCATCAGTGGATTGAAACCCTATACCAAGTATGAGTTTGCAGTCCAGTCTAATGGAGTTGGGATTGACGGACCGTTCGGCAGCGTGGTGGAGAGGTTCACCCTTCCTGACCGTAAGTACCGCACCGTGGTGAACATAAATCCCCAAACTCACGGAGCTCTCCCTGATTAGAGGAAGGCCAGTCTCACCTCATGTGCCTTGCCCACTAGTGGAGCAATGACGTAAATCTCTGAAGACCTTTTTCAGCTGCCAATTCTGTCGTTCCCTCTGTGTACTCACTCAGCAGATGTAACGTGCTTGTACACTGAAAGGCCTGGGAATCCGTCTCGCTGTCTCTTGTCATCCCTCAGTCCTCTTCTGCATCAATGGAGGCTGAGAGCCATTTGAAAGCCCAAGAACCGGTCCAAAGCCCACTGAAGAGATGCTGCCATTGGACTTGGCTTTGTAACCATAGAGGAATGGAGGCAGAACTCGAGAAGAGCAATTGATATGAATCAGGGCAATTATGTTTATTTCAGATTTGAGTTTTCTTTTGTTTTCTTGGGGTGGGGGTGGGGGGCGATTTTCTCTAAGAAATCCTGCTTTCTAGTGAGGTGCCCGGGGCTGCCCTGGGGGTTGCTTTGAGCAATGGGTCCTGGCTACGGCTGACAGATGTTGTCAAAATGAGAGTCGTTGAGCCTAGCGTGTTTGTGTAGAGGCAGTGGCAGGAGTTTGAGCCTCCCACTCTGCCCTAGGGCTGGCAGAGGCTGAGAGCCCTGGGGAACATGGCTAGCTCCGGTAAGTCAGGGGATAACCTCTCTTGTCCAATAGCAACTTCCAGTGGCTGCTTTGGGAGTGGAGTAAACTGACTTTTAACTGACTATCATTTGCGGATGATACTAAACTGGGAGGAGTGGTAGATACGCTGGACGGCAGGGATAGGATACAGAGGGACCTAGACAAATTAGAGGATTGGGCCAAAAGAAATCTGATGAGGTTCAATAAGGATAAGTGCAGGGTCCTACACTTAGGACGGAAGAACCCAATGCACAGCTACAGACTAGGGACCGAATGGCTAGGCAGCAGTTCTGCGGAAAAGGACCTAGGGGTGACAGTGGATGAGAAGCTGGATATGAGTCAGCAGTGTGCCCTTGTTGCCAAGAAGGCCAATGGCATTTTGGGATGTATAAGTAGGGGCATAGCGAGCAGATCGAGGGACATGATCGTCCCCCTCTATTCGACATTGGTGAGGCCTCATCTGGAGTACTGTGTCCAGTTTTGGGCTCCACACTACAAGAAGGATGTGGATAAATTGGAGAGAGTCTAGCGAAGGGCAACAAAAATGATTAGGGGACTGGAACACATGAGTTATGAGGAGAGGCTGAGGGAACTGGAATTGTTTAGTCTGCAGAAGAGAAGAATGAGGGGGGATTTGATAGCTGCTTTCAACTACCTGAGAGGTGGTTCCAGAGAGGATGGTTCTAGACTATTCTCAGTGGTAGAAGAGGACAGGACAAGGAGTAATGGTCTCAAGTTGCAGTGGGGGAGGTTTAGGTTGGATATTAGGAAAAACTTTTTCACTAGGAGGGTGGTGAAACACTGGAATGCGTTACCTAGGGAGGTGGTAGAATCTCCTTCCTTAGAAGTTTTTAAGGTCAGGCTTGACAAAGCCCTGGCTGGGATGGTTTAATTGGGGATTGGTCCTGCTTTGAGCAGGGGGTTGGACTAGATGGCCTCCTGAGGTCTCTTCCAACCCTGATATTCTATGATTCTATGACTTTGGAGGGTGGCTCCCATCCAGCTGTGGTGGTAAGAGAGCTTTGCGGGCGGGGAATTAAAAACCAGAAGGGGGCAGGGGGCTCGGAGGATCCCTTGCCCGAGGATAAGAAAAGCTTCGGTGTATTTTAATGTTGTATCTCTTCCTGAGCTGTGCAGCTACACCCGTGTTTTCCTGCTACTCCTTAGCTTGCTGGCCAGGACGGACAAACTCCCCACTGTTTGTGCCTCAGGGAGCACACCCTTCCATTCAGCTCCAAAGTCAACAATGAGCAGCCCTGTTTGTGCACCATTTGCATCCATCCATGTTCAGATCACTCCGGTGTGCGTGCAGATCACTCCGGTGTGCATCCAGCCACCCAGCTCCCATCTGCAAATGCAGCTTTGGCACGAGCCCACTTTTGGGGGTACCAAATTGGAGGTGTGTCCCAAAGAGCTGAGCTTTCACCATTTCCCCTTTGGTTCCTGTTGAACGTTTGGGGCAGTCGTCGTATCCTTTGTCTCTTCAGGGCCATCGACGCCTCCATCCGACCTCAGGCTGCAACCGATCAACCCATATGCTGTGCAGGTGCATTGGTGTCCTCCAGTCGAACCCAATGGCATCATTGTGGAGTATGTCATCCTGTATAATGCAAACAACACACAGCCCGATGACATGTGGACTCTGCTGAGGAAAGAAGGTGAGCACCTGGAGTAGCTCAGGAGCGTGTCCATTGGGCTGGGTCCAGAGTGGAGGTGCGTTGACTTCAATCCTTGTTGGGCACATGTGCCAATCCTAATAAATGTCAGTTCAGAATCCCCCCATTTCCCTGGCCCTCTCTGCTTTCTGACAGGGGTCATGCGTCTCTGCTGTCTAGCCTCGAAACACTGATAACAGAAGCCTAATGAGCTGGGGGACAGATAATGTTGAGGAAAGGCTGCGCTAGCCTGCAATACAATTAGAAATAGAGGTGGCGGAGGAGACCCACAGCTGAGAGCAGAGCATGAGCATTGAGAAGAGACGTGTGGGAGAGGAGGTGTGTTTGGAAGCAGGTGGGTTCTCTTGCCAGCTGCCTCTTTAGCAAGGCTCTTGGGTGCTCTGCGGATCGGGGCTGCAGAGAGACAAGATGTTATCGCTAGGCAGGGAAAGAACTTCCTGTTGACCGAGTGTCAAGGCTGTGGCTCAGAGATAAGAAAGGAGGAAAGCGGGTGGGTCGGTGGTTGAAAGACAATGCTGCATGTTTGCGGCTGCTCAGAAGCTAGGCCCTGTGAGCACATCGGCCACCTGAGATCATCCAGGAGGCCCTCTGCAAAACCAGGTCACTCCTATGTGTGGCGGTTTTCATCCGATAACGGTGTCAGGACGGAGCTGCGGGCTGGGGAGGTGAAGCCCATACGAGTGAGCGGAAATGGTCCGTGTAAGGTGCAGCAAGAAGTTAAGAGTTCAGCTGGTCATTTCTTGCAGTTTGTTCACCCATTGCCCTGAAGGAAAACTGAGCTTTTGAATGAGAAGACAGAAGGATACAAAATCAACAGGGCACACATTAAATGGGTTAAAACCTGCCTAATTGCTAGGTCTCAAAATGTAACTGCAAATGGGGAATCAGCTTGCAGCGGGTGTATTTCTAGTGGGCTCCTGCAGCGATCGGTTCTTGGCCCTACGCTATTTAACATTTTATCAATGACCTGGAAGATAAGATAAAATCATTACTGAGAAGGTGTAGAGATGACACACAGCTTGGGGGAGGGGTAAACAAGGAAGAGGACAAGTCCCAGATAGAGTGATCTGGATTGCTCAGTAAGCTGAGCGCAAGCAAACAATATGCATTCAGGACGGCCAAACGTAGAGTTAGATATCTAGGCACAAAGAATGGGGGACTCAGGCCTGGGAAGCAGTGACTCTGGAAAGGACTTGGGTAATCAGCTGCACAAGGTGGCCAAAAGGGCTAATGCGATTCTTGGATGCAGAAAGAGGGAAATTCAGCAGGAATAGGGAGGTGAAATGACCTCGGTAACGGCACTGGTGCAACCATTTTGGAAATACTGCGGCCCGTTCTGGATTCTGACAGATGGGAGAGGGTCAGAGAAGAGCCACAAGAATGATTAAAGGATGAGAAAACCTGCCTTATAGTGATTGACACATGGAGCTCAATCTATTTAGCTCGACAAAGAGAAGGTTGTGGGGTGATTTGACCCCAGTTGGTGAGTACCTACCTGGGGAACGGAAATGTGATGATAGAACAATATCCAATGGCTGGTAGTGGAAGCGAAACAAATTCAGACGGGAAAGAAGGCGCACGGTTTTCATCGGGACGGTAATTAACCACTGGAACAACTTACCAAGGGATGTGGTGCATTCTTGATCGCTGGCTGCTTGTAAAACTAGATCGGGTAGTTTTTTAACAGATGTGCCCTAGTTCAAACAGGAGTTAATTCTGGGAATCCTAGAGCCTGTGCTATGCAGGAGGTCAGACTAGATGATCACAGTGATCCCTTTTGGCCTTGGAATCTATGAATCTGTGAAAACGGAAAGGGTCAGAAATCTCTGGGGATGTATGGAGCTGAACTGCAGAGGCTTCTGATTGAATATTTCAAAATGGATGTTAATTAGGAATTAAAGTTAGCACATAGTGGATTTGGATTGGGACCACATCCTGCCAACAGCTCGGCATGTAGAGAACTTGACTGATGAGAGTCCTCTCAGTGACTCAAATGGGATTGCTCACTGGGCTCAATCCATGGTAGCACAGAGGCGGTGGTCTAGGGGTATGGCCAAGGAACGACATAAATGTCAAGATTTTCAGGCCTGAAGGGACCATCTGATCGACCTCCTGCATATTACAGGCCAGAGAATTCCAATCCTGCGTCCAGCCCAGAATTTGGGAGCACGAGGCAGTGTAGCTGAAGGAGAGGCTTCAGTGAGATTACTCATGTGAGTAAAGTTTCACACAGGCAGGGTCAGGCTGCTAGTGAGCATATTAGTTAGCTAAACCATAACTGTCCTGGGGTACAAAAGGCATCTCTTTACGTTATACTGCTCCCAGACTCTGCTAGCTCGGAGAATGAAACAAAGTTCTGCAACCCCCCAGATAGCATCTAAACCGTAAACATTAAACCTTCTCACCTGCTTTTGAACAGGAAATACTTTCAGCACCGAGGTGCATGGCTTGGAGAGTGACACCAGGTATTACTTCAAGATGGGAGCAAAGACCATTGTAGGGTCCGGGCCGTACTCGAATGTAAAGGACGTGCACACCCTTCGCGAGAAGCGGTCAGGTATTCCAGTTTTTACTACCCCAGGAAGCATGCCCTGGTCTCGAGATGTCACTCTGAGCATTGAGTCACGCTCCATAATTGCCCGTAGTTATTAGTGTTGTTTAGTTTTGTGTGCCAGCCAACGTGAACATGCTTAAACCGTGCTGGGGGCCAAATTCAGCGTGTGCGCAGCTCTTGCTGACGTCTGTGGCAGTTGCCTATCTGTATCTTGAGGCAAGGATTTGGCTCTAATTGCCCATCTTGCAGCGATCAGATTAGTTCATGTAGCATTAAGGCAGCTGAATCTTTGACAGATGCCAGTTTGCTTTTATCTGCTTCAACGGTCATTGCCAAGTACTTCTTATGATAGTGTGTTGTGTGCGTATCTCTTTGTGTGTGTGTCTGAGATATGGGTCCAACTTGGGGCCAGTCGTCCCACTACCCCTGGGCTTTAGGGAACACTAGCTCTGGATCAGTAATTGGTCCGTTGGGCCCATTTTATATCCACGCGCCCAAAGTCGGTGTTTTTCTGAAGGCACTGGATGCTCTGCGTCCTCTTCCTGGTAGGGCTTGAGACGCTGACTCGACTCTGTCCTTCGCCTACTAGATGTTCTGGATACCCACTCGGTCACCGGGATCATCGTGGGAGTCTGCTTAGGTCTCCTCTGCATACTCTTCTGTACGTGTGCCAGTTTCCGCAGCAGCAAGCAGAGGTATGCGTTGCATTATCCGGACAGTAAGCAGAGCAGAGCACCGATGGGGAGCAGCACAAAAAGCCCCGTCAAATTCTTTCCCACATTGAGATGTGCTCTGTTGTAGAACAGTTGAATTTAAGGCAGTGAAAGATGCAGGCCCTAAAAATAATCCACGTCTTTCAATATAAAATTCCTTCTCTGTCATGTTGCTTTGCGGGGCGTGCCCGTGACGGAGCGCTGTTTAATGAATGCAGTCTGGTTTGCTGGTTTGTATGCTGCTGCAGTAGCTTTTCTTTAATCTGCATTGTTAGAGTAATTGTTTTTGCAGCAAAATAGAATGCTAATTGCCGTATCAAAGAACATTATCCTTCCTTCCTCTCTGCATATGCACAACATGGCTCTGCTGCATTTGGGTGCCTGGCTGATAGCTGTAAGCATGCACTGAGCAGCTTTGTGAGCTTCCAGCAGGGAAGACTGTTAGAGGGTTCCCTTTCTTCCTGATGTAATGGAGTGGGTTGGCATGGTCGGGGCCAGATCCTTATTTGGGGTATATTGGCTGAGTCCTATTGATCTGACCTAGGTGTCAGAACCTGCCCTGTAAGTGCTTACAAAGGAAATCATTTGAAGCCCAACTTTTGATGTAAGCCGTAGTTTTAGAGAGAGGCATTGTGAGCAGGTGGACTGAGCACAGGGCTGGGACCTAGGAGCTCCCGAAGTCTCATCCAGGCTCTGCCACAAACCCACCCCCATCACGTAACCTCCCTCTGTCACCTGTAAAATGGGGCTGATGAAACTTAGCTGCTTCATGTGGGGTGTGATAAGCATGAGTGAGAGGTAGATCCTGGCCCTTGTCTCTCACTCCCGTTACGGGGCACTAAGGACCAGCCACTGTGATCTGCTGGACAGGGGGCGGGTTGTAGAAATGGCACACTGTGCTTGTTACACAGCCCGGGCTCAGGGTGTGTTGGCAATAAGTGGTGAGCACAGGGGCCTTAACACTGATCCCTGCACCCAGCAGAGTAGCCAAAAGCAGAGCCGTTCCAGTCCTGTTGATAACAACCCAAGCAGAGAGGGGCAGTTTGGTCCAGCATCTGCCACTGCTCACGAGTTGGGAGATGACACCCCTTGAGCTCTGACTGGCTGGACAAGGGAGTCCAAGGCTGTTTGCCCTCCGAGGTGGAAACCTTTGTTTGTTTTCCCATCCCCTGCAGGGAGGCTCTGCCAGGCCTGGATTCTCAAGCCTCTGGGAATCACAGCTCCTATCACCGGGGCAGGCAGGGACCGCCCGGGCCCAGCGCCAAGTCTGATTCTCATGAGCTGGAATCGCTCATGTCCCCGCTCTCTGAAGAGGTTCCCTTGCCCCTGGTGGACATCACAGAGCTGACGGAAGTACACAGCCTCATCCACACCAGCCTTCCGGATGACAGCATCCACGGGATAAGAAAGGTATCGCCAGTGCGAATGCTTACCACCGCCTTGCTCAGATAACCCTCTTAACCTGGAGCGGCACCAAGGAACCAAGCAGAGTTGCGTCTGATTTCCCCTCTGGCTCTGGATGGATCATTTCAGGGCAGGCACCATGCTAGCAAGGGGGGTTCCTGTATCACCTGATGCTGAGAATCCCTGACTACAGAGTATTATCAAATGTATTTCCTCTAATATGGTTATCCTGAGCTGTTTTCCCCCCAATACACTGATTTTCATATCCAGCCATGTTAAGAATTTCCCAGTTCCTATAGCGAGTCCATGTCATCGCCAGTGCCAGAGGAGGACGTTCCCTGGTGATGCTTTGGGGTTCACCCAGACCAGTAAGGGGGTGTGTCACCACCTGCCCTGTAGCCCTGGGTACTTCTGTGCTGTGCAACTTTGGCTCCGAGCCCTGCCACCAGCAGCCTGCTCATGGGACAACGGCCTCACCCTGGCCTCCACCAGCCTGGTTCCTCCTTGCAGGGCGACACCAACAGCCCTTTCAGTCCTGAGAGAGAGAGAGAGAGTGTGTGTGTGTGTCCGTCCCCCCAAAGCTGTCTGCCCTGCTGCAGCTCTTGCCTTCCAGGCTAAGAGGACCAAGCTCTCAAAGGCTTGAAGGGTGCAGTACCCCATCGTCCCTCTGTGATGGTTACCTCCAAGTCTTTCAGAAGGTCCTGATATCCTCAAAGTTCATCTTTGGTTTCAAAGCCAGGAAGCCGTCCTGGGGGCTCAGCTCTCTGTGTCCTCCACAGAGCTGACGCCATGTTAATTTTTGCAGTCTCCTGGGATTTTGCAATGCAAATGAATGGCCCATTGTTCTTGGCACACCTGGCTTGATTTGTCGTTGAGTCCAAGAGGTGTTGGCCATTCTCCTTTGTCTGGAAAAAAACTTTTTTGCTTCCTTGGTTTGTTTACAGATCCCAAAAGAGAGAATATCCATAATGTCACATACAGCATTGTTACGTACATTTCATAATGATTTTAGTGACCAACGTGGTGTTAGTTTTCCATTGATGTATTACAAGACACTTTCTAAAGGCAAGAGTCTCAGAGCTCCCGTGATGTTGACCTATGGATGCTGCTGTAGCTTCAAGGCAGGAGTAGATCCCCTGGCTGCAATGATCCCATTTTGGGGAAGGATGGAATAGTGGATGGATCTCCATAGCTATGGATTTGTGATCTGTTGCTTCTGCCTCAGTCCAGCTCCACCTCATCTCTGGGAACACAGCTCTGCGCTGTAGAGAGGAAAGGTTCTTCTCCCAGCAGAGCTGCCATGGTTCTGTTCCACCCAGGTCCTTTGTGCCGTTGTGCAGGGCAGGATTTGTTACTGATGCCTCTGTGTTCAATGCAAATGTCATAGTGGCCTTCACCGCTAGAGAGACAAGGGAAAAAGGTCTCACCCTCTACTTAGCACCAATATGAATCCATTAGGACCAAACCACATTCGTCCTCTAGAATTTAATAGGGGTGAGACAAACAGAGTTCTGTAGAAAACTAATAGGGATTTTTAAAAATTAAACCGATAGCATTTAAAAGAGACTTAATATCCTTTCTTTAGCTTTTCTCGTCCTGTGGAATTCTATAGGAGGGATATAATTCTCCATTACATTCTGTACAATGGTTAAAAAAACGCCTTATAGAAACGTCCTCATTATCTAATTCTGGACTTTCCCATAAGGATTCTGATGAAAGCCAGACCTTACTGTAGTTGACAGTCAGCCATGCAAATTCTGCAGAGTGAATCTCCCTTTTTCAAAGGTTGGTAGACTTGCAGAGTTGTGCTGGGGTTTTTATCTGCCTGGCATGTCTATGGGCCAGTGGCAATATCATTACAGATGCTGATGTTTACTAGCCATGAGCCTAAATCCCCCACGTTTTGGCCCCAGGCTTCCTCAAAGTTTGATGGTGTTCTGGACCAGGGCCTGGGTTTGGACCAGTCTCTGGTATTAATAGAACTGATCCAAAGCCCACTGAAGTCAATAGAAAGACTTCCATTGGCTTCATCAGAATTTGAATCAGGTCCTGTGTTAGCTCCTTGAGCCCTGCTGTAGAGCATGTTTGTCATCAAAAGGCCCCACAATAGCATGTTGCGATTCTACAAAGGAGAAATTCCTCCAGCCTTTCGGTAAGAAAGATGATGCTGGACTCTACCGTGTTGTCTGTCTGGTCATAACTCTGGTTCAGTTGCAAGCCTGGGGCAATTTAATGACCATGACCAAGAAACTTGACTTTCCACTTAAGACAAGTAACTGTACAAGGACGTTGTGGCAATCAGTAAATCAAAAGAGAGATGCTTTAGCTCAAGCTGACGTTATGGACGTGATGCAGAAATGATGGAGTGAAATTCTAGGGACTGTGTTTTGCAGACGTTCGAACTGGATGATCATAATGGTCCATTCTGGCCTTAGAATCCATTGATCTATGAGAGAAGGTTGAAGTGGTTGTTGGCGAAGGGCAAAAGAGGATGACAGTTTCTCTTTGGATGGAACCAATGAGATTCTTGGTTTATTTGAAAACGAGCATTGAAAGCAAAACCAGAATGCTGGATCGGAGAACTTGTATCGAGAAATATCTGAGGCTTTTTATAGAGAAAATTGTTTTGTCCTGTCTGATATTGTGGATGCACTCAGGTTTCAGTCCCCTTGGGACTCCTGCTAAACTCTGTGAGATCTTGTGGCCACAAATTCCACAGATTAATGATCGGGTTTCCAATGCAAATATTTGCGTTCACAAATTCGACATCTGCTTTCTACAAATACTCTCCCCAGTATTAACTTAAAATGTGCCGTTTTTATAAACATCAAGTTCACCAGCATGTTCACGGAGAACAAACATCAGGAAGGTGACCTCAATTGAAGGGAGCTTGTGTTTTTATTTGTGGATCTGTATGTTTGGAGGTATTCTCCGAGCTCTATGTAATTTGCCTGACATTGCCTCGTCTTTCTCGTCTCCCTGCCCCCTTTTCTCTCTCAAGCAATGTCTGAAGCATTTCATTCCATTAGGGAACCTTTAATTGGCCTAATTTAGTTAATCTGTTTATGTCTTTCTTTGTAACCCGGGGAGAGTGTGTAAGGTAATTAGGAGGTTGAGTGAAACAGGCGCATTGTGAGCACAGAGGATTTCATGTTTGCATCAATCATATGCTTGTATGTCACTGGTGTTAAGGTGTATTCAAGATAGAAAACTTTAATCAAATCTAAGTGCAAAATAAGGGAGACGTGTGAGAGCCCGGCCTTGGAGAGTTTGCCTCTTCGTTAGGGAATGAGCAGATGTATTCTTTTTGATATGCCACATCCTTGTCTTCCTTAACCGTCACAAGGGTCAAAGCGATTCACCTTGGTTTCCCAGGTGTTCCATCGGATCAAGACTAACAGGAAAAGATAGGAGAGAGCGTGAGGTTTCCTGTGTAGCAAGCACAGCTCCTTGCAGTGTAAGTATTTAAGCGTTGGGTTGCTTCTCTTCCCCCCCCCCCCGCCCCCGCCCCCGCCCTTTTAACAGCCCTTTCCATTAAATGAGGAACAAATGTTTTTCTTTAAAGAGTTACTTTGCCCCTGATCTCTGATTCAGGGTCCTGGAGGTAAAACTCTCTGCCCAATTGAGTCACTTTCCTCCTGCCTTTTGGGGATAATAAATCCAGATCCCTCTATGGATACTGCCCAAGCGGGAATTCAGTCTCTAGAAACGCAAGATCTGCTCCCCAAAGGAGCACGAATGCCAATCACAGTCTGTTCAGGGTTTGTCTTCAGAGAGTTTAAGGCCTCAGAATCTCAGTATCTTAGAATCCTGTCTTGGCGTTCGGCAGATGGATTATCAAAGATCAAAGGTTTGCAGAGTGTACGGTCTGGCCGCAATTTAATCTGCTGAGTGGGAGGCTGGCTAATGCTCCTACATCCAGGGTTTCACTTTCAGTCCCAGTCTGCCATAGCTTCTGGCAGCTCAGCAGGGTCTTGCTGCCTGCATTGTTGGACTGTCTATGCCATGGAGATGTACATGCTTCTATTCAAGTGCTGTGCTGTCATCTGCAGCACCTTGGATTTGCTCCTAGTCTCCAGAAATCCTGACTCCTCCATGAAATTATATTGGAGAGCCACCTGGGCTTGGTGAGCAGGAGACATGCAGGAGCGTTAGTCTCACAAAGCCAGAAGATTGCAGCCTCCAAAGCTGTGACCACAAAGCTCAGACAGCCAGTAACTTCCTGGTTCTTGTACTCTGAGAAAGTCAGTAATATATTTCTGGGGCAGCTGTGTTACCACTGGACAGCAAACCGTATACAGTATCCTGGAGGATGCCAAGGAAAAGTGCACGTGCTTGGAACGAAATCTGCCAGCAGATCGGATAGATTAAGTATCTGCACTCTCTGCAGAGCTACTCTTGGGGCTTATCTCAGCTTGACCCAGCATGGGTGTGCAAGAGGGGGGAGTGCAAGCATTCTCCCACGCACCCCACCCCATGCGGGGGGCTGGACACAGTCAGCATCCTGTAAACGCTGCCGTGCTGGCCCCTGATTCAGCAACGAGGTGTGTGCGGAAAGTCAAGCAGGTGCTTTACATGCTTTGCTGAATCGGGGCCCTACTTTCCCTGGTGGCACTAGCCTCTGCCAGGGGGTGAGGTGCTAGCCCAGATGCCATGGTGGTGGGGGCCAGAGAAGAGGCGTAACCATGACCTGTTCCTGGTTTAGGGTTTTTTTCATAAACGATTCTCACCTCTTCCCTAGCTGAATTCTAGCTGTGCCCCTTAGTATCATGTGACAGCAATGCCGCTAAGTAGCTACCACCAGCCCCGCCCTGTCCCCCATTGGAACAGTCTGGTAGGGGATGCCATCGAATGCTAAAGAAATGATATTTTTTGAATCCCTGCTGGTGTATTGGAAGGGTTTCACTGGAAGAATCGGGACATTATTTTGTTACAAAGAAATGGATACAAACGTAAGGATCCATGTCTTCAAAAGTGCACGTGTGAGGAAGCCTGGCTGCGTACAT